CCACTCTCAATTCTATCTCTACGCACCNGGGCTTCTCCCAGTGATGTAGGGAGGAGGGCTGCTTGAAATGAGGATGGTAAGAGGATTTGTTGATGTTCGGCCGATCCATATCCCTGATCAGGCAAACTGGGTATGCTCGGTGCTGGGGTTTCCTCTTCATCACAATCGCTCCAGTCATCGTCATCCACAATATCCTCCGAGAGCGGTGGATCATGAATAGTTCCTTCATTAATTTCCAAGTTGGGAAAATGGCCTTGACCGGCCTCGGAAAACTCTTCAAGTCGCTTGGACAGCTTCTCTCGACGTTTCATTATCTCCAGCTTCTGATCGGCACTTGGACGACTGCCTTGAGCCTTCACAAAGGCAGCCAATTCGGCTCTGGATTGTTCAATGTTTGAATCTAGCAATATGTGACTTTACTCACTGGGCTTCCTGAATTTTGATACCGGTGTTTACCCATCCAGTTAACCCCGGCTTGACCTTGCCTGCCTGTTCTTTAGTCATAAGTTTTAGCCGAATGCCCTTTTCGGTCTCGGCTGATTGAATGATTTTACAGCTGGCCTTTGTGATGGAAAACTTGGTCCTTACCTTCCTTGACCTTGACGTAATAGATGTCCATGGCGGAAAGGTCCTTTGCCCGATTCAAATTTGCCGTTTTGATCTGTTGCTCCCATTCTTGAATCTGTTCCTTACTTGCTGAGGCACTTAATTCTTCAAGAGCCTGGAAGCTCTCAGAGAGCCCGAGTTTTGCTTGCTTCCACTTCTTGCAAAGGCTACTCACTTGACGTTTATTAGCTTAGAAGCAATGTAAAAGCAGTTGAAAATAGATACCCATATTGATCATTTTTTTCCAGTTATTATCCAGCATGTGAGCATCCAACACCTCCGATCTATGGGCCAAAGTCATTGTCCGGGTGGTGCGACCGACCTCGTTGAGAACAGCCCACAAAGTCTCCAATATCTCTCCATCTGTTTGACCGGCCCCGGGGATGAATGTTGGGGCAAATCGTGGAAAGCATATTTCTTGATGGCCATGGACATGGAATAAGCCGATCCCGGCTACCAATAACAAGTCTGGTCTGATCCAGAGGTGTTTCGCACCACATTTTATCCGAGCCATCAAATTCACCATATACTGGCAGTCACCATTGTCCCATTCCGACGCGCACATTCACCACCCTCGATCGTCCCATTCCCACTTACCATGTCCACTGCTGAACTTGCTCAAGCCGCTCAACAGGCCCATACCCTCACTCCCGGGTTCTTGGAGGATGTTAGGGTGGCCACCTCCACGCTTTTGAACTTTTACAACCGTCACAGGGAAGGTCTTCTGGCCCACCAACGGACGGTAGAAGAGGATGCATACGGGAAAGCTGTGAGTGACTAACAATGATTTGTTGACTGAAATTGGATCTCTTTCTCCTACAGGAACGATTTGTATGTTTGCTCATCGACAAGAATATGTGGTATAACGCGGCCCAGTGGCTCAACCACCCTTGGATTTTGGCGTACACGGAAATGGCCCGAGCGGGACCATCGGTTGATTGGACCAAAATGTTCTCGATCCCACAACCCACCACCCCTACCTTCTTTATGGAAGGTTATGCCGGTCCCTCTCCCCCTTTACCTCCATCTTCGACCGATTCATTGCTCCCAGTCACAGTCCCAACTCCCCCATTGCTGGTACCGACAGCTTCATCATCGCTCCCAGCCCCAACAAAACCAACGCGTCGGGCAAAATCAACCGATCCTGTGCCAGCGGCTGAAACGAAGTCCAAGAGTAAGACGAAGTCTGGGCGAAGGAAACCCGAGGCCGGGTCCAGCGCCCAGCCACAATCAGAGGTGACTCCTAACGACACCGCTGCCCCAGTCCAAAGCAAAAAAAGAAAAGGGGACTCGATCGAAGCCAGGCCAAAGAAGACCAGAGTCGTGAGTGCGGAGTTCATCAACAGCAGCAGTGATGAGGAAACATTGAAGCCGAAGTCAGAGTCACTTCAACCGGTTGGTGGGGAAGCAAAGGCGGTTAAACCCAAGTCCCAGCCCCATTTCTCCCGCATGACACCCAGTGCCGGCCTCAGTCTCATCCAAAGGCCCAAGTTAGACCCCGATGCCGGTCCTCCCAAGACCGCCATGGCCGCTTTAAGGCAAGCCAAAACTGCCGAACGTCTTGCAAATCAGAATGCCACGATTGCGAAAGGCAATTATCAGCTTGCGGATATACCCTGTGAGGCCTGCAGAAAACGCCAAGATCGAGACATTGTTCCATGCGCTATCCGTTCCCCCCCACAACAAGGATCCTGCTTCACCACTAGTATCAACCATTGTTTATGAAAAAGTCTGGGCAAGTGCCTGCACAACTTTTTGGACACTGCCTAGGTTTTTTATGAAATGAGAAATGTAGGGCAAGCATTATGAAATGTGTTTCATTCCCTCCCATAGTTGTTTCATATCTATTTTATTCCTTCCCTATACTTTTTCATAACTATTTCTTTTTTACCTGGCCATTTATTTCATTGCCCCTCAGTCCCATTTCTTTCCTGTTTCTTTGTTGCCTAGCCTTTCATTTCATTGCCTCCCCAGGGTTATTTCTTTCCTACCCAGCAATTTCTTATTGCTGCCTAGCTATTTCATTTCATGTTTGCCTGGTAATGGTTTCATTCTTTTATTTCATTCTTGCTAGGGCAATACATATTTAATTAATTATATGAAATAACATGGCTTTAATTGTCAAATGAGTATGATATTTGTTATGCTTGCTAGTAGAGGGTGTAGGCCCCATTTCTACATAACTTTCAATTTGAGACCATAATATGATAAGGGTGCAAAGAGATAAGCAAGGTAAAGACATTTTACAAGGCATCACATGTATTACATAATCAAGTCCCAGGAAGATATTTACAACTATGAAATGAAATAGCTAGGCAACAATAAGAAATTACTGGGTAGGAAAGAAATAATCCTGGGGAAGCAATGAAATTGCTCATTGGGTAGGAAAGAAATAAATGAAATGAATGGCCAGGTAGAAAAGAAATAGGTATGAAAAAGTATAGAGAAGGAATGAGATAGATATGAAACACTATGGGAGGAAATGAAACACATTTCATAATGCTTGCCCTTCATTTCTCATTTCATAAAAAACCTGGGCAGTGTCCAAAAAGTTGTGCAGGCACTTGCCCAAATTTTATCATAAAAGTGGTAGGTACCACTCGAACAGAGTCACGTCGATCGACATATTCTTTCAGAAGCGCCACAGGGTCGGCAACTTCCTGTTGTGAGAACAAGATATCAGTACCACGGTAAAAAGGATCCCCCTTGTGATAAGGGAGGTGATACTGAGCTCGCCCTTGAGAAAACGTGAGGGAGGAGCATTTGATGATTTTCCTCCAATCGAAGAGGTCTTTTGAATTTTTCTGGACAAGTTCACCTGAGCGGTGGCAAGCGTAGAATAGGCAAGAAAGTATTGTTGCGAAGAGGAGGTCATCGTAGGATCCAGAGTTACGAGCAATATGTAGAAAAGTTTGTAAATGTGCCGGATGCAGAGGCAACTTACGACGAATAGGGTCTGCGCGGATTTTCTTGGAACCTCGAATAGTAGTTGTGACAAGTGGGTGGGCGCGATTCTTGTCAAAGTTAGGATATAAGTCAGATAGAAAATGTCTGACTCCTGAGAGATATTTTGGCCCAGAGGCGATGTATTGGGAGGTGTAGGCGATGTAGCGAGCCAAGGTTTCAGGGGTGGGTTCGATGGAGAGGTGGTGGTTCATGCAAAAAGAAATGTAGTCGCGAGCTCCTGTTGCATAGCCTTTAACTGTTGATTTCTCAATAGCATTAACCTGCAAATGAAGCATATGATTGTCAAGATCACGTAGCTTCATTGGTGGGTGAGTCCGGCGTAATGGCCGAGACCCGCCCAGGGCGCTCAAAAGCACCCCCTCCATCGCGCCGGCAGGAGGTCCCGTGGTGGGGAGAAAAGGCGGACACGGTCAAAAGGGAATTTTGCACGATACTCGTCGAGCAAAAGACGTGAGAGGAGGTCGGCTCGGACATTTTGCTTTCCAGGGATGTGACGAACACGTAGATCAATGCAAGATTCAATGATGACGCCAGCTATCACCATCAGTGGACC